ATTGGAATTCTAGAGTATTAATTAATTTCTTGCCATTTATGGTTCTGTTTCATTCAAACAAATGAGCTAATCGTCTTGAAGGCATTTGAGTAAGATTCCTAAGGGCCAAATCAAGCTGTTTCTGGGCTTGAGGCCATGGTACGATTCTTTTCTGTTCTGTATGATTGGGTACTTTAGCTGAAGCAATTAAAACCTGTTTCCAAAAAAACAAAACAAAACTGGTAGCACAGTTTGTTCCTTTTTCTCTTTTTCTGTGCTTAAATTTTCAGGGGTTGGGGGTAGGAGGAGATAGGACTTGTCTTAAGTGGAGAAGGTTTTAGGATTGTCAGGACAGCATTTTAGCCTGAGTGATTCGTAGCATGTGGCCATGAGGAAGAGGCCTCTAAAAATAACTGGTGACAGAGTCTTCAGTCAGGTCTAATTTCAGTTCTAGAGCCCTTAGCTGGGCAGGGTTGGCCAGTGCAAGCTCTAGTAGGGAAGGGCATGGGGTATGCCCACTACCTGCTGTGAGTGCTTTGATTTTTCTTTACTTCTATATATATTATTCATGGATTGAAGACAGTCAAAATGGCTGAAGATAAAGGTATATTTATGTTGTCTGGGATAAAGTGGCTTTGGATCTAGTTGGAAACTTTTTGCTTTATTTTCAGTTGTACTCACCGCAAATATTTTTGGTTAAATGCTTTGACTGCTGTTTTCTACCTTTTCTCTTTTGAATTCCCTGAGACTGGCAGTGGTTTAATTTTTTCATGTAATAATCTGTCTTTAATTTGAATAGGCTTACTGTTGTAAATTATCTTTTAATAATTTTTTAATTCCACTACCAGAGACACATTTTACAAAGTTGAAAAAATTTTGTTAGAATTACAGGTTGTTTGCATTCAGATTTCATATAAAATGACAGGAAATTTAAGTAATATATAAATACAATCTTGTAGTAGTGAGCAGATCTAGTTAATTCAAGCTAAGCCCATATATGGAAATTGACCTACTTGAGAAACAGATGATAAATGCAAAAATTCCAGACACTAGGAAGTTTATTTTGTTTTTTAAATTAAATCTAATTTTCAAGAATTCTTTAGTAATGTGAATTTACTTTGTTAAATGTCTGTTTTTCCTTATTTTATAAGTACAATTGCCTTTCTATTCATTTAAAGCAGACTATTAGCTCATTATAATGAAACTTGATATTAAAGACACCTGAAGACTGACTGCTTATAATTCTCAACTGGGAAAGCAGCAATGAAAAGATTCTGTAGACAGACAATGTGTGCATACCATTATTTAGAACGCTGTTTGGGATAACTGGCTAAATATTTCACTTTATTAATCTGATAAAGTGCATTATTGCTCCTGAGGAATAGACTTTAAGTTTTTGAGTGCTGGGATTACGACATGTATCTCCACAGCTAAACTCCTGACTTTAATGAGCTGTTACTTCTGTACAACTTTTAATATTATTTTCAGTTTCCAAAGTAACCTCTTGTGCCATTAAAAAAAACAAAAAGACCAGCCTGGCACTGGTGGCTCACAGTTGTAATCCTAGCTACTCTGGAGGTTGAGATCTAGAGGATCAAGGCTCAAAGCTAACCTGGGCAGGAAAGTCTATGAGACTTATCTCCATTTAAACACCAAAAAGCCAGTAATGGAGCTGTGGCTTAAGTGGCAGCGCACTAACTTGAGTGAAAAAGCGAAGAGACAGTGCCCAGGCCCTGAGTTCAAACCTCAGCACACAAGTAATAATAGTTATAGTAATATAATAGTAATAATAATATTTGGTACATTGCACAGCAATTATTAACCCAAAATAACCTAAAAGGTTTATTTTTAACTTTTACTACATGCTTTTTATGTAAATAGGAAAACCATGTAATAAAAATTTCCTCTGTATAAACACTTATTTGATAATTAACTGCATTACCTTTTAAAGTAACATATCTGTTTAATAACTATTTTGAATGAAAATGTTACAAAATTTAGGCAGATTAAAATAATATTTGAATGATAAAATCCATATGAGCATCAGTTACTGCCTTGTACTGGAGATTTTTTTGAGGATTTAGCAATGCTTGTTATATAACTCAGTTAATAGCAGGCCAGTAACTGACTCCTCAGGTGATATGGAATTTCTGTTTTCCTATTCCTGACCAGGTAAGTAAAATACCACATTTTCCCTAAGCTCTGTCTGTTCTGAACTTTTGGGACTGTTGTTCACTGTAGTAATTCCCAGTGCTTTGGAGTACTCAAAAAGATCTCATTTGGAGGCTGTATTCTTTTGATGGGACGGAATGGGGAGAACTACATCATCTTTGACATAGACTTCACTTCAGGAAATAGTCCCTGAGACTGTCAAAACACAGAGCCAGAAAATGAAATGAAGACTCTTTGCATTTATTCCATCTTAGAAAATAGGGGCAACTGCTAGGTGCTCTTCTAAAATATCTTTGTGATAAAGAACTGCTTTCAGGTTTGCCTAGGGAGTATTAATACACCCTTGCTGAGGGTTTTTCTCATTCTTGTTTTCTTCAGTCCAATTGGAGAGAAACTGATCTGCCCTAGGGGACCAGGCACACCATATTTACAAAGGGATATATCCAGTACATGTTGTTTGCTGTTGATAAAGGCTCCCCTGTATAAAGACGCCTTTGATGACATTACTAAGAGTTACCTTTTAAAGTGACAGATCTTCTTAATAACTATTTTGAATGAAAATGTTTCTAAAACTAATAATTATTGCTAACAGATTAAAGTAATATTTAAATAACTGAATCCATGTGAGCGTCAGTTATTACCTTGTACTAGAGATTATTTTGAGGACCCAGGGTGTGCTACAGGCCTCTGTTATAAATGGCCTCCATGACTCTACTTTTCTAGTTTGCCTATCCTTGTTGCTGGTATCCAGGCCCTTTGGTTGGCCATCCTCCATCAGCTTTTTGTGATGTAACTCATTTGGGTTAGTTTGTGTCTAAGTCTATAATTTCATGAAGTAAATTGGGAAACTTGATTGTGAAGTTGTTAGACTCATGCCTAAAAGAAAGGTAAACAGACTAGATTAAAAAGATTCTGTAGTCTGAATTTGGATTTTTCTTTCCTGCTCCTTCAATCTGTCTATAATTTATATGAGTATTACCAAGTTGGATTAATGATGCTTTATTGGTTTGTTTTGTTTTGATGCCTTTTATTTTGTTTGGTTTTGGTAGTACTGGGGTCTGGACCAGGGTTTTGTTCTCTTGAGCTACACACCTCCAGTACTTTTGAAAATCTCTGCAATTTTTCTTTCCCTTCTTGTGTTACAAAAGAGACAGTAATGGATAATTGATTTTTGAACTTAATATCAGTCCTAGTTTATTAGCTATTACATTTTAGGTTTATTTTGGGTGTGCTTTATTGATATATACATCTTAGAAGCTTAATTATTGGAAAAAATCATATCATGTTGACAAACACATTGAATAAATAAGCCATTACTGTGTATGTATGCATATATATAAATATAACTCAATCCGTCTATCTATGAGTGTACACATGTACACATATTCAGATTGAGTCAGTCATTATGTACTCTTGAAAAATTGACTTGGAAGATTACCTTGCTGATGTAACTGTAACCCCTCTGTACAGTATTTTCAAAATAAAAAACTTACTTAAAAAAAAAGAACTTTTCCTTTTCTCTGGTGGCATTTTGGAATGTGATATAATCTTTCTGTGTATTTGTTGATGTTTATAAACTAGGGATTACATTTCTTTCTAAGGGATATTTGAATATGACGGTCTCTCCTTTTACTAACCAAGTTAACTTCTAGCTGTCACTGACTTTAATATTTCTTGTTCATTGTCAAAGAATATTTCCAAAAGAACCTAAGGCATATCAAGCACATGAAATGTGGTAAATGATACGGGTGGCCAGCAGTTTGCAAAGCTGTTCTGCATTGAAGCCAGTTGTGAAGGAGCTTTTTTCTGCTTCCCTTGCCTAGCTAGGAAGGGCCCAATTGTTCTGTTTTGTTTCTCTTTGTCCTCTCTATGTTTCCATACTAGTTGTCTTCATTGTGGTGGTTGTCCTCCTCTCCCTTTTTGTTTTTTGGGGAATAATTTTCTGTGGCAATTAATGGGGCTTTTAAGATTCATAGAAACTAAATAGCAATGTAGTCCATCTGTTTCTTAGATCAGCTACATTACTATATGATTCAATTAAGATTTTGATAGGCTATCAGCTGCTATGTAGGGTGATTTTGATAAAGGACTTATACGGAATCTATATGGTAAATCAATATATTTCTTTTCTTTCTTTCTTTTTAGTTTGGTTGTGGGGCTTGAACTCTGGGCCTGGATACCATCCCTCAGCTATTCAGCTCAAGGTGAACACTCTACCCCTTGAGCCACAGCGCCACTTCTGGCTTTCTGGTGGTTAATTGGAGATAAGAGTCTCACAGACTTTCCTGCCTGAGCTGGCTTTGAACCATGATCCTTAGATCTCAGCCTCCTGAATAGCTAGGATTTTACAGGCATGACCCACTGGCACCCAGCTAATATATTTCTTTAAAAAATCATTAGCCGGGGCTGGGAAGTTGGCTCAGTGGTAGAGTGCTCATACATGAGGTCCTGGGTTCAATTCTTCAGCACCACAAAATCAGAACAAAAGCCAGAAGTGGCGCAGTGATCAAGTGGTAGAGCGCTAGTCTTGAGCTGAAGAGCTGAGGGACAGCGCCCAGGCCCAGAGCTCAGCCCCCATGACTGACCAAAGGGGGAAAAAAAAAGCCTATCAATAATTTCATTTCTTCAATTACTTCAGAATTAGAGTTCCATACTTCAAAATGGTATTGAGTCTAAGCAGCGTTTTTTTGTTTACAAAATCTTTGTTTCCAGTGTTTTGAGAATTTAGGTAAAAATTATTTCTAACATGGTCCATCGAATGATTGAAGAAACAGTTTGGTGTGAAAAAGGTGGTTGATGAGACATTTTCATAGAGGCTGACATTTTCCATTTCTTTTGTTTCTAAACAGAGACGAAGCACGGAGGACACAAAAATGGGAGGAAAGGAGGACTTTCTGGAAGCTCCTTTTTCACATGGTTTATGGTCATTGCATTGCTGGGAGTGTGGGCATCTGTGGCTGTCGTGTGGTTTGATCTTGTTGATTATGAGGAAGTCCTAGGTAAGATTGTGGTACACTTGCTGATACGAATTTGCTGGAGGGTAAGTTCTATCCCTTAGTAATCTTGAAGAGTTATTACCAATCTTTTTGGTACTATTTTTGTAGCCTTTGTGTTTCTCAGTAGGCTGGAAGCAAAAAGGAATGTCTTGAGGGTTACTTTGGAGGAGTGGCTTTTAAATTTTGAATGTCATCTTTTTTTTTTTTTGTCTATCGTGGGCCGAATTCTGGGCCTGGGCACTCTCCCTCAGCTCTTCAGCTCAAGACGAGTGCTCTACCACTTGAACCACAGCACCACTTCTGATTTTCTGGAGGTTAATTGGAGATAAGTCTCACGGACTTTCCTGCCTGGGCTGGCTTTGAACCATGATCCTCATATCTGAGCCTTCTCAGTAGCTAAGATTACAGGCGTGAGCCACCAGCGCCCGGCTTGAATGTCATCTGTAAAAAATAATATATAGGTTGTTTTGAATGTATAGCATGCAAAGCCTTCAGCATATTATATTAATTCATTATCCTGTGAGTTTTAAAAATTCTCGATCATGAACTACTGAATTTATTTAAGGACAGATTAATGTAGCTACCTATACAATTTACAAAATCCTTCTCTAGAGTAGAGAAGGTTTTTCAAAGCGTATCTGTTCAGGTCTCAGTTGAGATAGGGTGTGTTTATGTGTATCTGTGTGTACATGTGTGTGTTCACATTCATGTACTTGTATTAGGATAAGGGTGTTGTTAACACTGGGGATGGGTGTGGTCTGTATGCTGTTCAGAGGAGGTTCTGGGCTACTTGTATTTTGGGGATTGCATCTGGGCCTTGCATTTACCATGCATGTGCTATCTACTACTGTTTTTGAGATTGCTTGCCCTAGTATGTGCTAGTATAATAGGCTTCCCATTGTAGCTGGGATAGCCAATTGTGTGCCCCTGTGCCCAGGTTACTGTTGAGAAAGGAGAGGTCCCACAAACTTTCTGCCCTAGCTGATGAACTGCCATTTTCCTGATTACAGCCTGCTAAGTAGCTGTGTAGCTACAGGTATGAGCCAGGTGCCTGACACTTGTTCACGTCCCCGACTTTTTTTTTCTTTTACATAATCATTATAATTTTTCATGATTTTTGCAGTCTGATTCTGTGCCATTTTACCTTTTTAAAAAAATTGAGATAAAAATTACACAATATAAAATTCAGTATTTTTATATTTGAACATGTACAATATTGGCTTTTAGTATATTTTTTATTTTGTGCAGCCATTACCATTATCTAATTCCAAAATAGTTTTATTGCTTCCCCCCACACACTCACTGTTCTTTCTATGACTGTAATTTTACCTGTATAAAACATGTCATATGATATGTGGATTTTTGTGTTTGTCTCTTTTCACTTAGCAACATTGCTCTTTCAAGGTTCAGTCCTTATTCCATTTTATGACAGAGTAATATCCCATCATATGGACACATCATATTTTGCTCGTCTGTTCAACAGTGATGGACATTTTGTGGTTATGAAGAGTGGCTTTCCTTTCAAGTAATCCAGGGGACATGGACTGGAAAAAACATACACTCTACATAAGACCCTCTCCTGTCCACTAGATCTCTTGCCTTAGTTCCCCCCCCCCCTCCCCCCCCAGCCTCCTGGCCAATCCTGGGGCTTGAACTCAGGGCCTAGGCACTATCCCTGAGCTTCTTTTGCCCAAGGCTAGCACTCTACCATTTGAGCCATAGCATCACTTCCAGCTTTTTTTTTTTTTTTTGCTTTTTTTTTTGTCATTTGTGGGGCCTGAACTCTGGGCCTGGTCATTGTCCTCAGCTCTTCAGCTCAAGGCTAGCACTCTACCATTTGAGCCACAGTGCCACTTCCAGCATTTTTTCTGCTTATGTGGTGCTGAGGAATTGAACCTAGGGCCTCATGCATGCAAGGCAAGCACATTGAGCCAGTTTCCCAGTTCCTGCTTATTTTATGAAAACCTTCTTCCTTGGGCTGGGACAAGAGTGAATGTTAAAATATGTCTTTTACTGATGTTCTTCCTCTTTGACTTTAGAGAAAGTAGTATGTCTCTCAGTAGATGAGTAGACTAACAGAATTTTAGTTCAGGCAAACTTGTGAATGGTTCTCTACTCTGCTTGTACTGCTGTGTTGCTAGGGAATGTATGTGAAAGAAGAGATTTGACATGGGTGTACCCTTTAATTACAAGTAACTGTTTTCGTGTTTTTACATGCATGCAGCCAAAGCAAAGGACTTCCGTTATAATTTATCAGAGGTGCTTCAAGGTATGCCACTGGAGATATGTTTTAAGTGTTTCTGCATCAGTCTCTAAGACATCATTTTTGTCCTGCTGACTTAGTTATCGTTTGTTTCAGAATGGAAGCTGTAGGATTCACTTCCCCTTTTAAGTTTGACTGGAAGCGTATTTTCTTTCTTCAGTGTTATTTGAGCTCTTTATACAGCCTTGATCTGCAGATGAATGCTTTTCATTTTCTTAGCAAGAGAACTAACATCTTCACCTCTCCACTGTTCATACCATTTTTAATGTGTGTGCTATGTCAGACATAAAGAGCAAGTTATTTTCCTAAGTAGAGCCAGGGTTCTAGGAAGATTTAGATTGGTTCCTATTGCTCTATTGCTAGAATTTCTACCTGCTCTCTTGTAATATTTAAATGTAATTTATATTAAAGAAATGGAAACAGTGTTGCTAACTTTTTTTTTTAGTACTAATACTGGATTTGTGATTGCTTTTAAAGTATTATACGTTGTTTCTTCATAGCTCTCAGACCAAGGATGAATTATGAACTTTGTTTTAGAATGCTTTTCAGATGTTGAATGCATTAGATTTGTTTGAAATGTTAAATATATGAGTGTTTCTGATGAAAAGCATTATTAAAACCTTAAATGTACATATTTACTGCTCTTTTGGAGTAAAGGCATTAGATATGGTCTTCTCAGCATATCTGACTTACACCTATCCCTCTTCCCTTTTTAGGAAAAAATGGCCAGTACTAGTGAAGTAGCATAGCCATAATTTTTTCTTTATAATTTCAGAAAATCTTTACATCTTCTTACTTTATTTTTACAACAATCTCGCCCTCTTAAGGTTATTGTATAGTATTTCTTTAGTAAATCATTATATATATGAAAAAGTAACCATCCTCTTTCTTTTAGTAGTTAGACTCTGTGTTGGCTTATTTACTTTTGGTCTTTATTTGAGGAGTGGTTGTTTATTTCTTTTGCTTTTGAATATTGACACTGATTGAAATTTCACTCTTTAAAAACATTTATTTTTTATTTTTGGCTCTCATGAGGCTTGAAGTTGGGCCTGGGTGCTGTCCCTGAGCTGTTTTTGCTCAAGACTAGTGTTCTATCACTGTGAGTCACAGCTCCACTTCCAAATATTATATTTTATGTAACTAGTAGAAATGGGTTGATTTTTTTTTCTTGTATCTCTTAAAAGTTTTACCTGAAATATTTTTAAAGTGTTATAAATTTATTCTGAAGCTATTAGATCAGAGTATTGAAAACCTTTAAAACAGCATCTGTGTCATGTCTTAGGATTGCTAAGTAAATTGGATGTTTGGTATTATATTCATAGCATACTACTCTGTGGAATTAAGAGAATAAATATATCAACCAGAAATGTTTCTAGCTGAAGCACAGGACTGCAGTAAGTGGCAATCCCTTATTAAGTTTGTTTTCCTTTTATTGTTATATCTATTGTTTCTCTCATCTTGTAGGAAAACTAGGAGTCTATGATGCTGATGGAGATGGAGACTTTGACGTGGATGATGCCAAAGTTCTATTAGGCAAGTACAACTTTGCTTTTTATTTTGTTAATGATAGTAAAATATTGGAATCAAAAGAATACTTTGGCTTTAATAATATTTATGTCAATTATACATATTTTCTGGAAGGTATTTTGTTGCTTAATAATCAATTTCATTCTTATTGCAACACCAAATGTCCTTATTACTACCTTTCAATCTACTTTCATCAGTAGGCATGTAGCTCTTGAATATACATTTTAAGTAAGTGCCATTGCATTTGTGCTTTCAGATTTAGAACTCTTCATATTCTGTACCTAAGGTATGGATAATACATAGTCTCTTCAATATGATAAAACTGCTGCTGCTTTTTCACACCATTTCCCACAATTCAGTTTCATTTGAAAATACTAATTTCTAAAGGCTTATATGAATTCATTTAGAATAAAATTACAAAAGCAAAAATCTTAAAATGTCCTATATACATTGTAAAATGAATATGAAATTATGTGTATGTGGTCTTTTGACCATATTTTCTTGTTTTACAAATCTTTCACTCTTTTTTTTTCTCCCAGAAAAATTATTTGTCCTGATTTTATATTGCAATATTTCTTTTTTTTTTTTTTTTGGTCCGGTTGTGGTGCCTGAACTCTGGGCCTGGGCGCTGTCCCTCAGCTCTTCAGCTCAAGGCTAGCGCTCTACCACTTGAGCCACAGCGCCACTTCTGGCTTTTTTCTTTTTGCTTATGTGGTGCTGAGGAATCGAACCCAGGGCCTCATGCATGCAAGGCAAGTGCTCTACCACTGAGCCACCTTCCCAGCCCTGCAATATTTCGTGTAATAAATAAAGATGTAGTATTCCCTCATTTATTTTAAAATGATCTCTTACTGATGGTGCTGATTTTAATATATAACTTTTATGAAATCTAGCCTTTTAGCCTGGCGTAATTCTGGTTTTAAACAACATCATTTCATTTGCTTTAGTACGAAGCATGACATGAGTTAGGAATTTTTATAGCAAATATTTAGAAAAATAGTGGCTATATCATGGTATTAGCTACTAAACTTAATAGAATAGTAGCGCTAAGTCTTCCTGGCCACACTGATTTTTGCATACTTAAGAACAGGGGAAAATGGAAAGTTTCTATGTCTGTAACCACTTAAACTGCTTTCAGTAGATAAATCTCATTTAAAAAACAAACACTGGTTCTAAATGTGAAAACAAGGTTTAGTCATGATTAAATGTAGTATAGTTTCTTGCTTAGACCTGTCCTTATATGTTTCCTTGTTACCATTTAGTGATAACTAGTGTTGACTACCTACAGAGGAAGCTTACTATAAAATTCTCATGAACTTCTTTTCTTACCCTTAGTGGAATTTTCTGTGTAACTCTGTCATTATATTTCTAAGCGAGAATTTCTTACATACATTAAATCTGCAGATGAGTATAATTTTAGGTATGCAAAAGAAATAAAATTATACAAAACTTAACATGTTAGTATGATGATAACTGCTTGCTAGCTTGCTATAAATGGTTTGCCTACTCCAAAGTATCACTTTAAATGATTTCTGACTAGTAAAGTCTTTCATGTTTTAAAATAATTTCAAATGGTCTAAGAGTTCCTTTGTTTTTGGAAATGATTTTACTTCTGATGCACTTTTTTTCCTTTAAATTAGCTTGTATTAGTTGCAGGGAGGGGTGGATTACATTGTTTCCAGACATGTTTACAATGTGTTTGAATCCATCATCCCCTCTATCACTCTTTTTGTCTCCCTTCCCCTCTTCTCAAGATGATTTAAACAGGTTTTATTGTTCTATTTTCATAGCTGCAAATAATTTATGTCAACAGTATTCAGCACTATTCAGTCTTCTTCATTCTTCTTGTTAGCCCAACTCTCCTGCTACTAGATCCCACCCTTCATGGTCTCATGGTCTGTTCCTCTTTCCTAGCCCTTTACGTACTACTTTTTTTTAACTGATGTTTTTACATCAAAACTTGAGTTATTTTATTATAGTTTACATTCCAAAAATTCATTCCTGTGAAGAATTGCCATTAGCAGGTAGATTTGTGGTATAGACAAAGCAAAGCTTATTCCTTTCATAAGAATTATTACTAGGAGGTTTGCGTTTCTAATTTCACTAAGAAATTTATGAAGAAAGTTACAAGAAAGCTAAAATGAGTTATTTTATTGTGTATGTACCAGTGTATAGTTAGCTTGTGGCTATTGTAAACATGAAATAAACCCAGATAAGCAATCAGGCTATTACCTCTGTTTCTACACTCTTAGTTCTCTGCACTAAGTATAACCTTAACTTGGATTGATAATAAAAGTTCTTTTCTTAAGTTTGAAGTTTTTGCGGTTTAGCTGTGCTGCTGTTGCTTGCAAGGGGGCTGCAAATGAAGCACCTAGTAAAATTTTGGGGTGTGAATGGTGACTTTCATCAGCTCTGTATGATCAGGAGAAGTTATGGAGAAGCTAGGTTCTGTGGATGCATTTTCATTTAGGTCTCTGTTGAGGAGTAAACCCTCAGGGGAAAGGTTTTAGATTGAAGCAGAAGGAATCCAAGAGGAAGGAAGACGGTTGGAGAAAAGGGAGTAAAAGATAATTTGTCCTGAAAGGAAGTAGTAACATTTGGGATATGTTGAACTTTCATACCTTTGGCGTTTACTTCATAACTTTTCCCTCTAGGTTCTTAAATCTACATATAAATTCAAGGAAATGTATTCATTCATACTTGCATTTCTTTTACATCTTAAGGGTTGTCTTGTGAAATAAGAAGAGAGAGTTAAATATCTATGAGTAAATGTAGATCATTAGCTAGTATTAGCTTTATTATTTCTGGCTAAGGCTTTTTTGATACATTTTGAAAATATACTAAGCCTGTTGCTGGCTACATAAGCATCCTGTTTTTGTGGCCAGCTTATGGGAAATAGAAAGATCTTTGATTTTAGCTTTCATTATTGACAATTATATTGCTCATAGTATATCCCTTACAGACTTGCTTTCCACACACAATCAATAAGAGAAGATCCAAGGACTAGATGCTGGAAACAGTATCTTCTTAGTGTATTATTACCTAAAGAGTACATGATCTCTTTTTGTTTTAGGATTAGCACCTAGCTGGCACTTAATGCCTGGAGCACAGAAATCAAACCAGTTCACAACTTGTAGCTCTTTGATAAACATTTGTTCACTGCATGATGTGTTGAGTGAATCCAAGAGAGGAGAGGACCAGAGTTTGCCCAGCTGAGAGCATCAACACCTTGCTCTTTTATCCAGGCATAGTCAAAGAGGTTAAGGCGGAGTTACATATCCAGAAGATTTTCTTTTTCTTCTTTGGATTGGTACTTTCATCTTAAGAGCAATAGGCAGATCATGACAAAGTTTTGTTTAAGTACTTTTTGTAACTTAGACACTTAATTTGTCATAATGAAGAGCAGGAAAGGTTTATGTTTACATTTAATACTCAGAAGTAATAATATGTTGGAATGTGGAGAAAATTTAAAAAGTATTAAATGCAGCTATAGTGTTTTAGGTAGAGAGAAGAAACAATGTTATTTTCACAGATACTTGGGTGGAAATCCAAGTCCTTTTTTCTGTTCACAGCATTTGTCAACTCTGAAGTTAAATAAAAAACATTCTGGGCTTTTCACAAAGTAATTTAAATACCTGTCATAATTGTGTCCTTCCCTTTCCCTGCCCCCTGCCATTCTCCACCTCCAGTGTGAGAAATGACATAGTTTTCCCATGAATAAAGCAGAAGAAAAACACATTGTTATCTTCAAAACTTAGCATAGTTTCATACTATTGTTTCTTAGATGTATGCCTTGATAGCTAGTATTTGTGCTTCCTGGCACTTTCCATTTTATCAAAGTCTTAAATGACTGAGTTTTGGGCAGTTGCAGTTGGAGTAGCTTTGTGGTTGTTGCTGTTAAGGTTTCTTACAGCCAGACTTTCTATCCTGTTTCCTTCTCAAAAGTTTGGGGTCTTGCTATATGTAGCTTGGCAATACTGGCAGATTTTACCTATGGGAACCAAGAATTATTTCTCCTCCCAGCCAGTTCTTCAAAGGAGAAATACAAATGACTAAATGTACTGATTTTTTTCTACTAGGATGACCTGTTCTTCTACGAGGGCTTAAAAAGGACAGAAGCCAGTAGACTTTGCAGTAGAAGGTGATTTCCTGAGCTGATGAGGAGAGGAATTTGGAATATTGCTACTACAAATGAGTGACTCAAGGCCTACTCTGAATACCTTACTGAAAGCAGAGAGAATTGATAATAATAGCTAACTCTAATTATTGAGCCTAATTACAATGATATAGAACTAACCTCCTTTAATTAAAATTCAAGTGTGTGATTTGAGTTAGTTTGAATGAGTTGAGGTCCATCTGTGCAGTTATAACCAAATAATCCTGCTTAGTCTTACCACTCCAGAGTTTCCTAAATTTACTTAGGTTCTGTGTGGAAAAAAGATGAGAAAATGAGCCATTCTATGTCCTATAAGTATTTATTGATGTATGCATAACTGTTCAATCAACTCTTCATAATGCCTTTAGTAAATAAGCAAACCAGGAGGTTGCTAGAAGTATTTTTCCCCCTCAAACACGGCTTTTGTCTATGAAACCAAGCAGATACAATTTTGTCAATTTTTTTTCAGCCCAAGACCAATGGGAAAATATAAGTTTTCCACACACCTATCCCAGAGCTGGTACGGATGGTGGGGGAGTGGTCAGGTTGGCTATCCTTTAGCACGGATAACTGAGACTTGATTGTGTGGTGTGCATCTCAGTTGACTTATTTCCACTTGTTACTTGCCCGTAAACATCCATGAACATGATGCACAGCCTTGTTGAGATCACTCTTTCTCAACTGAATTTTTTTCCACCTAACTGCTCTCCTTGTTTTCTCTTTCTCTCTTCCTTTATTCTTATGTAGGCCTGACCAAAGATGGCAGTAATGAAAATATTGATTCTCTTGAGGAAGTCCTTAATATTTTAGCAGAGGAAAGTTCAGATTGGTTTTATGGTTTCCTCTCCTT